CAAAAAAAACTGTGAAAATTCCATATAAACAAAAACACTTAACTGGGACTTTAAACTAATAACAACATGATATTTGTCAAGTAATACTGGGCTACCTACCTAGCAGATAGCTGTACAGACTACAGTATACTGTAGAGGAGGAATAGAGTACTCTATAAAGTACGCTTAGTGTCCTCTGATTTCCTGACTTACGAAAAGACACGGCCTTCCTCCCTAAAGGTGTTGAGACCTTCGTCACAGGACTTGGATCTCTCGGTGGTGATGGCCAGCAGGTAAGAAGACCGACGACTTTTAATACTGCCTGAAGAGACAATAGCAAAGTCAGAGGGAAAAAAGCAAAGGAGGAGAAAGGTACCCAGCATAAAAGACATGATAGTGCCACATGAGCTAACAACAAGGTAAGTAATATGACACTAGCTAGGTGGTTTATTATCAAGTGTTATCCAGTGAAAGTTAAAAAAAAGGGGGGGAGGCTTTATCTCCCAGGGTATAAGGTGTAGGTGCTGAAACAGTCTAATAAGTCAAGTTCCTATTAGGCTTCAACCACAGCAGGTACAGATATGACAGAACCACGCCAATACAACACTGCTCCACCTCTTTCCTGTAACTTCTTGATCCAGGACAAGCCACAAAATGGAACCATCTACACAGAAATGAACAACATGAAATGAAGACCAACAAACTGTGTCTTGTCTCGCCTTTGGCCATGGTGGAGCATCAGATAGCTTAATTTGTTCTAGTGTATCATACGGCTATAGTATTACCACTGTGGTCTAGTCACTGCAGCCCCAAAAGGACACAGCAAACATGTGTCCCATGACATACAGTTTGTTAGCTTCCTGATTTACTTTTGTGATAAAACAGTAAGGTTTTAATGATTTTATTATTTATTAATTAACAACACCATTAGTTACAACTAACAACCCCTTTGGTGCCATCCCAACAAAAGCAGAAATATTCTTAATTGCATCACAGGACAAACTTGGTTTGTGCTCAAACACACTTCCAAGCTGACTCACAACTCACACCTAAATGACTCCAGACTTGTGAACTCAAGAACATTATGGATTTTTCAACATTTCTAGAGAAGAAAGTTTTGGTTTTTATGCAGTCCTTTATTGCATCATTGTACATGTCTGCCCGCTATGGGGATGTAATGCCCAAACAAAACACACAGCAAGCTGTGTGTGGTTGTGTTGGTGACACAATCAATATGGTGTTGTAACCCCCTTGGGCTTAACAGAAAAACTGCTTCCTGTAAAGAATGTGGGGAAAAAAGAAAAGAAAAGAAAAGTCAGCCATCTCAGGTCACCATCTTGAAAACTCACCCAAAAAGGTCAGTGTTGCAGATAGCCTGTAAATAGGCTTTGTTTACATGGGATTATCATAACATTAGCAATAATTTCACTGTTGTAACTGTAAAATCAGGTGTGTTGGCTCATGTGGAGCTCCCTTGTTTTTGTAACGCAGCGTAGCTGTTCAGGGTAACATGTTGAACTTTACTTCTCTCTGCCAGTGTAGAATAATGAAAACACCTTATGACAATACAACTGAAAGTGAAACTGAATAAACTAACAACCTTGCTTGATTTCTTATTTCTATTTAAAAATTTGCATTATGATTATTTTTACTTACGGTAGCTGTTTGTTTGCTTAGCATAAAAAGCAGCAGGACGAACCGGTGTTTGCTCATCTCAAAATAAATCAAGACAAGTTACAGATTTTGAAAATTAATTTGGATTGGAGTTGCGTCAGGAAGGACATTTGGAGTAAAACATGTACCAAATTTCAACATGTGAAGCCTCAGTGTGACGATTCGCTGTGGCAACCCCTGACGGGAACAGCTGAAAGAGACAGAGCTTGTGAATTGTCCACTACAGATCAATGAGGTCTTGTAATTATATATTATTTTTTGTATTAATCTGGTAAATGTAGTGGAGTAAAAATGATAATATTTGTTAATGTATGAAGTAACAGAAAATGAAAATACTCAAGTACAGATACCTCAAAACTGTGCTGAAGTACAGTACTTGAAAAAGTTTACCACCACTGTCAGACACCTTATTTACCTTTAGAATTAGGCTTTTTGATAAAGTTTATAGTTAGAGCTGGATCAGGTGACCCTGAGCCTTCCCTTAGTTACGCTGCTATAGGCCTAGACTGCTGGGGGCCCCTGTACCTTTCTGCAGGTAGCCCTGGCTCTGGAGCTGTAGGTTTCTGATGAGCAGTCACCAGCCACATCAACGACAGGTTGATGTGACCAATGTTTGATTGTTTGTTGTTTTGTTTGAAGTGCATTTATGCTTTTCTTTTCTTTTTTTCTCCTCTATCCACTCACCCCAACCGGTTGAAGCAGAAGGCCACCCACCAAGAGCCAGGGTCTGTCAGAGGTTTCTTTTCTTAAAGGGAGTTTTTCCTCCCTGCTGTCACCAAGTGCTGCTCAAGGGGGATTTGTTGGGTTCTTGCCCTCCTGATCTTCTGTGTCTGGAAAAAGGCCATGCAACATCCTTTTCACAGATCATAATGGGTGGGGGGCTGGGAGATGATCATGGGGGAACAGCTGCTGGTTGCTGGTCTGAGGTGATGTGAATGAGGGATGTGAAGTTCTGCTTCTCAAACCATCAGGAAAACCCATTTAGGTCATCTGCCAGTTGATGGTCTTCCACAGTAGGGGGGCATGGTTTCCTGCAGCAAGTGAGGTTTTTCAGGCTTCTCCACACAGACGAAGGGTCATTGGCTGAGACCTGGTTTTTCAGCTTTTCAGAGTAGCTCTTCTTTGCTGCTCTGATCTCCCTTGTCAGTGTGTTCCTGGCCTGGCTGTACAGAGTCCTGTCCCCACTGCTGTAAGCCTCCTCTTTAGCATGGCAAAGCTGCTTGAGTTTTACTATGAACCAGGGCTTACAGTATTATTGTTGTATGTGCAGAAGGTTTTGGTGGGCACACATGTCCTCACAAAAGCTGATGTCACAGCGCCAGTGAGTTCATCCAGGTCAGTAGACGCAGACTCAAATACACAACAGTCAAAAGCAGATCTGTAGCTCTGACTTTGACTGCTCAGTTCATCTCTTCACTGTTTTGATCACAGGCTTTGCAGCTTTAAGTTTCTGCCTGTAAGTTGGGATGAGATGGACCATGTAGCGATCAGAGAGACTGAGAGCTGCACAGGAGACAGAGCGATGGGCATCCTTCATTACTGTGTAGCAGTGGTCCAGCATATTTTTGTCCCTAGTAGACAGCTGATGTGTTGTCGGTATTTAGGCAGTTTGTGGGTGAGGTTTGCTCTGTTAAAATCCTCTAAGACAATAAATAGGGAGTCTGGATATTTCTGTTCCATGCGAGTTATCTGGTCATGCAGCCAGGTGTTGTAGCGCCTTGCTAATGCAAAGCTGAGGGGAAATGTAAACCCAGACCAGGATAAATGAGGAAAACTCCCACAGTGAGTAGAACAGTTTGCAGTTCTGAATAGTTACAAATTTTCTCTAACACTGTGACATCTTTACACCAACCTTTAACCAGTGGTAGAATTGAACTGAGATCCCGAGTCAAGAGATGGCTGTAAGTATTATAAATCTTCCCATGTTGAAATAGGGATTAGTCTCACCTCTGTCAACTTAAAACGTTGTTAGTTAAATAGTTAGTTAAGTTATTAGTCAACTTTTTAAGTTGACAGAGATGAGCATAATATCAGAAGCACAAAGTGAAGCTAGTGGAACAGAGGCTAACCAGATGTGAAGACATGACTTCAGCTCTCTGTAGAGCTGCGCTATTTTCTGCCATTTTCTCTGTCAATAAAAACCGGTCACAGAGACTCTGCACTTGTCATCTGTAATGAGCTAACACCATAGCAAAACTCACAAACGTTTTCAAATATTTAGAATCACTATGTATAAAAAAAAAACAATAATTTTGATAACGGTAAAGGCTACAGCAGTAGCAACCTCTGTGTGTACTGGAATGGCCCAGGTTGTATTTATTTACTTATTACATTTTTAGATTTGTTAAAATGAACAGAAATATTAATATTTCTGGACATACCCACTTAATTAGGGGCTAGTGCTCAGTTTATGTATTTTCTGTTAATAGCAATAACAGTTAGGCCATTTATCCAACCATACTCGCTATTTTCCTCCTCAGATGAGTTATATGATGTAATATTGCCATTATTTGGCCTATTAACTAAACCTATGAGATCCTTTCTGCCTCCAGAGGAGCTCAGTTCATGAGAAATGTTCACAGAACCAAAACAATTTACAAACACTAGACAGGTTAAGATTAAAAAACAAACCAACTCTTATCAACACACAGTAAAATACTACCGTAAATGTGCTGGAGGGTAAGCAAATGTGTTACACTGACAGATATACACACAAAAATGTTAGAATTTTAACACCACTTGTAGAATAATAACCAGTGAATGTAAAAAAAAACTATCACATTCCCCCTGTATTATCAGCACATTTTAAGATAGCTGTATTAATCATTTGCTATGCAGGACAGGTCACTAACCTATGAAGGGAATAGAGGACCGGGGGTCAGATGCATGCTGTGCCAGGCTACCACTGGCCCTGTGGTTTGGGCCCACAAAGACAGACGAGAGGGTCCCTGATGAAGGTGTCAAACCAGGAAGTGCAGGTGACTCCACAGTTCCACAGTTGTTGTGGGGGTGTAGAAGAAACTGACCAGGGGTCCAGCAGCGTGAAGGTGGCTTCTGTCTGAGCACAACCTTGTGATTCAGGGAAATTTCCTCCCTGCCACCCAGCTTGGCTCTCTCCTCCTCTGAAGGAGGCAGGATGGGGTTAGACTGGGGCTTGGGTACCACCACACTCTCATTGTCTGCAAGGCTATCCTTGCTGTTGGGCCTCCGACTGAGGTAGGAGCTGCTGTAGCTGGGGTCTCTGAAGGAGTGGGCCTGTTGGAAGTGGTGGCCAGTCTTGTGGGAGAAAGGACTGTAGCTTATGTAGTCAACCAGCTCTTTCTCTTTGATTCGCCTTGTTTGGGGTTCAGCTACTTGCTGCCCTGACTGCCTGCTACTAGGAGGCAGTGTGGAGGAGGTTGTGATAGGTCCTGTCACTATTTGGCGCTGAAACCCTCCTGAGACTTTCTGCTTGCTGAATTGTATTGACTGGGGACTATGAGATGTATGTTTGTAGTGTAGTGAGGTGAGTGCAGAGGCTTGAACCGGAATTTTCACAGAACGCTCATAGTCGTGCTCATACTCAGTGCAGGCTGCTAGCAAGCTCTCTGAACATGAGCTGTTTCCTGGTCCCGATACCCCACTCTGGCCCCCTAGCCAATAAGAGGCATGGGAAGCAGTAGCTGCCTGGTGGTGATACAGAAGGGTTTCTCTTCTGCGCTGTTCTGCAGAGATTGTTGAGACAGACATAGGTCCTGGGGCAAGTCCCAAGCCCAGCCCCACTAAACAGTCCTGAGAAATACTGTGGCCACTGGGGGACATGCGTTCTGCTGCCTCACCCTGGCTGTAATACCAGTCTGACAGAGCTTGGTGGCCAAGGGCATCGTTATGGCTGCTCTTCCTTAGCGGAGTCAAAGCTGCAGAGACGATGGCGGCATTGTGGTTAGCAAAGTGAAAGTCCAGTGCACTAATGGCTGAAGAACTGTGACTTCGGTTCCGCCCAAACAGGGCAAAGTGGTCACTAGAATCCTCAGGATCTCTGGGCAAGCTGCAGCGGGGAGGAGAAACAGCACAGAGGTGACTATCCAGTAAAGAGGGGATAAAGCCAGGTTGACACTGCAAGTTGTCCAAGGAGCTGTGGAGGTTGTGGCTGGGCCGGGGGGCAGTGGAAGTTGGCTTGATTGAAGGGCAACAAAAAGGTGGAGGATCAGTGACGTTCTGGGCCTGACCTGAACATGGCTCATTGCTTTTCAGGTAGGCGCCCTGGGAGAAAGCCTGAGAACAGGAGGGGTTAGGGTTGGGTCACTTAGTAAAACATGACAGAAAGGATGAAAAAATGAAGACGGAAGAAACAGCTAAAAGATGTAGTGAGAGCTGTAGTGAGAGCTGTAGTGTGCGCCATGCAGCAGTATTTTTCTACCTTCCAAAAATATATGACAATAACAATAATAAAGCATTTACTGTATGTACCTTATTTAAGGTACTATTTTTACATTAATTATATTTACTTGCCAATCAAAAAGTGATGCACAAATTGTGCCTACAATGAATCTAATCCTTCCTGTCTCCTTGTCCCACATTTCCTTCCAAATACGGTTCTTCCTTTCTACATCATTCCACCTCATCCACTGTCCCTGCTGAGTCTGGGAGACTGCCTTTGCACATTTACCTGCCTCTTCCTTCCTTCTAACCTCCTCAATATCCATCTTCCTTCTGTCAGCTGCTGTTGCTTAGCTCCAAGAAGGTTGTAATGTATTTAAACCAAAACCACCACATCCATGTGGTACCTGGCCTACAATATCCTAATGTTTAATAGCTGCCTGAGCCTGCAACACTGCCTCCTTTGGGTTCCACTTCCTCCCTGCTGAGATTGCTGGTGCTGCACTCTGCACCCCTACATCCCTGGTTTCTGACAGCGTTATCTCCAATCTAGCCTTAGTGCATTTAAACTTCTCTGTCAAACGGGTTATGGGGAGCTCCAAAATCCCTTTTCTGTACAGGGCCACACTGCTGAGGCAGTGTGGAGCTCGCAGCCACTTCCTAATGTATGTGGTAAACATTCTCTCTACTTGCTCTGCCTTAGAAATTGGTACATCATACACTGTCAGTGGCCATAACAATCGTGGCAAAAGACCGAACTGCAGGCACCGCAGTTTGAGTTTGCCTGGGAGGCCTGACACCTTTATGCTCTTAATCCCATTAACTGCCTGCTGCCTCAAGCCCTGAATCTGCTCTTTATCAAAAAAAAGACAATACTCACACTTACCAACTGCAACACATCCTCATCTTTTGGCATAATAGAGAGCTCGAGAATGTTTTCACTACAAAAAAAGATCAAAATATATGAAACAAATAGAAAACAGGTCACTTGTTAATACAAGATGAAATGTATAAACACTAGTCTCCTACCTCTTTTGGATGAGGGTGATCACTTGAGAATAGGTTTTCCCCAGAATGCTCTCCCCATTGACCTCTACCAATCTGTCCCCTACAGAAGACACACACATACACACAGAGACACACATTCAGAGAAGGCTGACATATGTAAAGGTGTAGGTCTGGCTTTAGATGTCGGGCACACAATGGAACAAGATGATCCACAATCATCCAAAACATTTTTGAAATGCTTTATTCATTTTTTATGTTCTAACCCTACTTAATCATCATCATGTTTATCACATGATGTTCCTTGAGAGAGACCTATTTAGTAATGTTGTGTTTGCATTTTTCCAAAGTGTACTTTGCTTACACACTTTAATCTAAAAGTGTAGATTAAATTATATTGTTTCATCTAGAAAAATATAGAGGAGATAGATGTAGGAAAGGACCATCAGCTTTAAAGGCTATAGAAGCACATTGGAGCCCAGTAAAAATCCTGTGCTTAAACTTACATTACTGATGATTAACTCCCAAATCATGCCATTGATGCCAAAATTTTCAATGTGTTTTTGCAAGAGAAACCATAATTATAAATAAACTGTATAAGGACACATGTTTTGTCAGGGAGGCCCTTAATGGAATAGTTCAGAGCGTTTTCAAGTAGGTGTTAAGACAATATTAACGCATCCCTATTTAAGTGAGAACAGGTTTTAAGCCATGTCTACACCGCAAGTGTTACATTGGCAGGGTGTAACATCTGGCCTACAGCTGAAGAGAGGCTTGTGCTTGTGTCTATAATGGGCGTGAGTTTAGTGGCACATTGGAAGGGCCTGTTCAATAGCTAGGGTCTGCCCTCAGTGTATGAGAGGAGAATAGTGCTTGGTGCAGACTTGGCTATGAATTGCAGTATGAGGAAAAGGGTTTAGGAGATCCATGCCCCGCTCTCAGGCACAGGCAGACTCTCTGCATGAAAGGGGAGAGAGAGGGGATTGAAAGATGCAGAAGAAAGGGAGGGAGGATGGATTTGGGGTCAGTGTGGAGAGCAGGAGAAGTGACAATGACCAAGACCTATTTTCACATACACATGGATATATCAATATTGTTTTAACACTAACGTGAAAAATCTTGAGCTAAGTATAAGGTAGATGTGTCATCTGAACATTTCATTTTGAAAATTTAAACAACTCTGCAAAATACTTCAAAAACTAAATTACAGCTGCATGTTTTTTGGAAACGACTGGCACCACTATAAAGTGGAAGCAGACATTATCATCTTTAAGTACTATATGCTAAACTAGCCTGTATGAAGGCTGGAAGACAAAACCCAGGGGAAAATGACTAAACAGTACTTGATGCTGCTCAGTAGTAACTCAAAATGACTCTGATTACTTTATCAACAGTACTGATCAGTTTGACTCTCTCATTTGGATCTAGGGCAGCTGGATGGTCAGAGGACATTATAATGCCTGATTCAGAATATGTGATTTTATTGGTCTGACAAGATTGTCACCATGTCAGATTACATGATTAAAGAGTCATGTATTCTTGTCATTATTTGGACAAGGGATATGACAGACTACATGTTGGTTGCTGAGAGATAACAGCCTGATGTCATTCATTACTTGCGTGAAGGAGGTGCAGGGACCAGGAGAAAAAACATCTGAAACAGTGTGTGATACCGGCTGTTTGTGTTTGGAAAAGCATAAAAACAATAGAGGTTCAGGTAAGGGGTTAGGGAATGTATTATGTCAGTAAGTGTCACTTACTGTGACACAAGTGTCACACACTTTGTGTGTGTGTGTGTGTGTGTGTGTGTGTGTGTCTGTCTTCTACCTGTACGCAGTCCAGCTAGTTGGGCAGAACCATTCTCTTTGACACTCTTCACAAAGATGGTGTCCATTGGCTCCAAACAAGACTGGAAAAAACCTGCTTAAACACATAGAGAAGAACAAACCATATAGGATCCAAATTCAGCCAACCTCTCCTGGACTGGAAATATCAGCAAAACCTCCAAAACCGAATCAGCTCTTCCTACATGTGGCCATGCACACATTGTCAGCATTTGTGTCTTATAAAACAAAACATAATAGATTTAGTAGATTCTAATTAGTCACCGTGGCATGTACATAAAATAGTGTGAATGATTCGTTATATAAAACCCATAGCCTATAGGACTATACATTTGCAAACAATATTTTAAGTCTGCAGAAACATGAAACTGTCACCTTTTCCAAGTGCATTTCCATTGTCTTCATCCTGTGAGAGAAACATGGAGCAAGTATTAGACGAGACTTTGCACACCAGGGGACACTTTTCAGCTCACATTCAGTCCAACCGTCCACTGCCTCTGTCTCTCAGTTTCCTACCTGTCTGTCTGTCAATTTGTTTGCTTACCTGTCTACATGCCTGCCTCTCTTTCTGTCTGTCTGGTGGTTCAGTCTTTTTTACCAAATTGCATCCAGCAGCGGTAGTTTGGTCCAGTGTGTGGTAAGCAATGAAAGACACAGGCATTGTCAACATTTTAGAAACATAAAGGATCCAGTCACTTTTTACTTGTTTTAAAAACTGCTCAGCTTGCAGTTAAAATTAACTGGTTAAGAGAGCTGGTTACACACTTATAGCAAAACCCAGGGGCAGCAGTGTGTCGAAAACATATTTGTTGTTCTCTGTCCCTGCAGCAGAGGTGTCTCCATGAAAATCACAGCACAGAGAGGAATGTACTGTGGAGGAGACTGACCCCGTGTCAACAATAAAAGCAATTATGCAGTGCACAGAATAATTCAAACAATGCTTGACTGGGTGTTTTCTTTTCTTTTTTGGATTTTCTTCAACTACTGATTTGTATTCACAGCTATTTGTGCATTTGTGGTTTTTTGTGAGCTGTCTGTGGTACTGAAGCAACAGTGGTGGTAAGGGCATGCATGAGGGACGTTTCTGTCTTAAATGACATGCTCTGATGTTTATGTTGTCGGTTAACTGCCACTGCGTAATAAAAGGGCTAACTATATGGTTATGACAGTGCATGGGGGAGGCAACAGTGGTGCAGTGGGTAGCGCAGTCGTCTCCCAACCAGAAGATTGAAGGTTCAAATCTTGGTGCCTGCAATCCATGTGCACAGATTCCTTGTGTGTAACATACTTGGCCAATAAAGGTGATTATCATTATCCTTATGAGCTGCGGGTGTTCACACCTGTTCTGATATTGAGCTTCATATGTTCTTCTGTTATGCGCTATGTTCAGGGGCATAGACAGGAATTTATTTGGGGGGGATTGTGTGTTATTTATTACTAATTTTGTGTAAATTTAAAAAGTCTCTGTCCAGGAAATAGGGGTGGAACAGTTCACAAAATGCAGCATTGTTGTTCTACCTTGTTAAAAGCTTGCTAAACCTGAAATCCACCCCCTGGCTACGCCTTTGGCCATGTTGTAGTAACATAAGAAACATAAAACTCTTGTTGCTGCAAATAAGTTTTAGGCTGCATAGGCTATAAAAGACAGAATTTTGTCTATACTGTTGTGTGCAGCTTTAATAGGCTACACCCAGCTGGGGTCCAAACTGCTGGGTGAGGTCACTAGTCTGAACGTACAGTCGAGGTCATCACTCTGGCATCTTGCTGCCTGTAGCCAGGTACTCTTGGTGTTCTTGTTCAAGGAAGATTTGTTGGGGTTTCTCTACCTATACTTTGATATTTCTACCATGTGCCTCAATGATTTTTTTTATTTGTGTGTGTGTGTGTACCTTTGTACTTACCTTTGTACCTTTGCACAATGACTGTTGACTGGTGCACATGCTGCTCCCATGCAGCATACATTCTCTGTTATATTCTTATATATTTTTATTATATTGCTCCATTTGCTGCTTAAAGTGCCTTAGATTTTGTGTTACTTATTTATCTACTTTATATTTCATTTGTATTTTGTGGCATTCATGTGGACGGCAAAGTAAGAATTTCATTGTACAAGGAAACATGTTTCCTAACTGTGCATATGACAAAATAAACACTTTGAACCTTTGAACCTTTGTATTTACACTTACCTTGAAACCTTGAAGAGAGGACTCTGGAGGGTAGACAATGAAGTGGCGCAGAGTGAAGCCGAATCCTTGCGAGTTCTTCTGGAGAAAAATGGTCCGCAGGCGTTGCCTCAACACACCCTCCACCTCACCCATCGAGAACGGCCGACGTCTGTTCTTAAAGGACGACACCATGCCGTCTCTTTTCCCTTTAGCCTGTTGAGAAGACAAGATGGAGAAAATGTTTTGATCAGTTGATTGGCTTGGTTTGAACAATGGACCTTCCTTTTCCTCTTGGTAGAAAATGAACACAGAGAAAATTTTACTATGTGAATCTCAAAGTACATCTCAAGCCTCATCAGTCAGTTTAAGGTGTCTTCACTGAACTTGTGTATGAAACTATGTGGGATTTAGCCATAGCTGAAGTGTGAGGGTCGATATGATCTGTTCGCTGAGGACTCTGCCCAAATCTGACCAGAGCACAATTCAACCAATGCCAGGAATTTTTACAGGGCTTCCTCTCTCCAAAGAGGAAACTCCATTTTCACCAGTAACTCAAAGTATAATCACATTTATTACCTCCAGGCAATAACAGCAGAGTTAAAAATATATACCATCTATAAATAACAATCATGGAACAACAGGAACTTATTAGAGTTAAAACAGATGTGGAAAATCTGATCAACAATAGGCAAAGGGAGCACACAACTTCACAGAGTGTGTGAGTAAAATAGCCAAAACTACAGGTGTAATTTACAGCACTGATAATCGCTGCATTTCATTTAGGTTCACTAATTACAGGGCCATGCTACTGGGCGTTTTCAGTGGTGTTTATAGTGTGAGGCGTACCTCCCTTGGGGGGTGCCAGAAGATTTCAGGGAAGGTGCAACATGAGAAAAAATAAACCAGAAATAATATCTGTAATCATTAAACTATGTGTGGGACAAAATGGATCGACTTGTAGTAATTGTGTGAGAGAGGAGACAAAGTTTGGGGCGAGTAGAAAATGGAGAAAGTATGATGATGAAGTTTTAAAGTTTGGAGTTTCATGGACTGGTCCTGATGCTGCTCCACTGCCACAGTGTTATTTACACAGCGGTGCTAGTTAATGATAGTGAGAGACCATGTAGATGGGAGTTTCTGGTAGAAAACTAGAGGATTCACAGTGACAAAGGAAAGTAATTGAGAAATCAGTACTGTGAATACGAGGCAACCGAAGCATCATATCGTGTTACACATGGCAGGTATATGGAACACGCAGGATGTGGAGACTGATATGAAAAGCAGCACCATGCATGGTGTACAGTGAAGGTCTTCTTTGATGTGTTCAGACATTATTTGACTTGAGTAAAACTGCACAAATAGACCATACAGTGTATGATTTTGTTGAATTGAGGCTATGTTAGTAAGGCTGCTGTGTCTGTTTTCATTTTGTGACTGTGGAGGGTTAATTGCTAAATAATTTAGCCCACAGATTAAGCATGAATGTGAAACTTTAGATAGTGAATTTTTTTTCTTTTCATTCTGAACAAGTCAATATTTAATAGTCCTTTACACTGCTTGCTTAATACAACAGGCTACACCAACAGTGACAATAAATGTTGTATACACACACACATACACAGTCATTGCCAAAAATATTGGTATCACTGCATTTCTGTCAGATAATCCACCCCTTCTCTTGGGAAATTGTTGCAATCACCAATTCTTTGGGTGCAGGGGTGCCAAGGACACCACAGTGGTGGTGATGAATGATATCCTAGTTTTTGGCAAATATAAGTGAATCCAATAGACGAGTTGGCTCAAACTCAATGAACGACTCCTGCCACCAGCAAAAACTTACCAAAGTGTTGACGTGGCCGACAATGGCAAGATTGGAAATGGGCATCGTTTTTGAGGAACTTTATGCCATTTCGGGCAAAAGTGTGCCTGAGTTTGAGGCCACCCACACACAAGAGAACCTTTCTGCCATTTGAGAGACCCTCAGCATCTGTGTGACAACCAGCAATGTGTTGCTGCCTGAGTGTCCTGATGGGAACGTTTTTGACTTATGTGGCACTTTAGCTGTCTCTAAATTGCCCGTAGGAGTGCTTGTGTGTGTGAGTGGTTGTTCATCTGTGTGTTGGCCCTGCGATGGACTGGCGATCTGTCCAGGGTTTACCCCACCTTTCACCCGCAGCTGGCTGGGATTGGCTCCAGCCCCCCGTGACCCCGTTTGGGACTAAGCGGTTTAGAAAATGGATGGATGGGAACTTTTTTGACTTATGTGGTACTTTAGCTCTAATTTGGTGAGGAGACCCAGATGTCACTTGAAAACCCACACAGGCCTTTTAGACCCTAGATATGCTGTTTTATTAAATTAATTGGTTTTACAAAAAATCTGGGTGAGCAGTGATTTTCAGGAAGTTCAATAATTAGTGTGCAGTGATGATCTATAGCTGTTTCAAGCCTGATAAGAACATTTCTTTGGCAAAATATTGACCTTTGGCAAGATATAGTCAAATTTAATCTACTGGCATGAAAGAAATATGGTATTGAGGGTTTTACCTCCAAACTATGGCTTCACCTCTTACCCAGGATAACTGATGGTGCTGGTTAACTCTAAGTTGGCCCCATCTTCTTTGTGATGCAACGGGGGTCAGCTGTGGTGAGGCACAAGGTGAAACACTCTGTAACACTGCCAGCCAGATACAGCGAGGTTCAGCATCGCTACAGTCAACCCCGACAGAACAATGAAATTGCCACTCATGGCCCAGTGGAGCTGGTGCGACACCCGACACCCTCAGCATAGCATCTTCACATTCACATACACTTGTATTATCTCTGTAGGGAGCACACAGTAGCTCACGCCAGGGGTCACAAGGGTTCGGATCCCGCAGGTGAGATATCCAGTCACATTGGTACAATCTCAGTCTCAACTTAGAGTAAATGAGTGGAAAACCCACTTGCACACAGTATTACTCCTTGTTAAATTTTAGTCTTGTCTCTGGATTTTGAAAACAAATCCATAGCAGAGTGGTTGGATTTTGTTCCTGGAAGAAGGCAGTTTGTAGTCAGAGCAGATTTTAGAACTAAATAATCCAATCTTGCTGAGATCCAGTCAGTCCCCCTCCATGATGGCACAAAAGTGCTGCACTGGCTGTGGCTCTTCTCAACCCTGCCATGTCTCTTTCTTTTCTATTTGCTGACATCCCCACACTCTCTTGCTCTCGCTCACTTTCCTCTCATCTTTTAGTAATCCTTCCTCTTGCTCTCCTGGGTCTATTTGGTGACATCCCCACACTCTCTTGCTTTCGCTCACTTTCCTCTCATCTTTTAGTAACACAGTCCAGCCCACTGGTGAAGCAGAGAGCAATGTTACTCTCCCTCTTACTGTGCTGATCTCCCTGTCTTCTGCATTCAGACTCACATCCTGCTAGTTTATGAGAGCCATAATCGACAGAAACTGGTCATGCAAGCAATTACAAACAGTTTCTGTCAGTTTCTAAACTGTGTGCTATTATTAGCAGCATTCTGTTGGTAAATCTTTAGTCTCAAATATAAAATATTGTTTTTTTTATTTTAATGTATGATGGACCTAACACTCAGGAAAATATCTGATAGGTGTAAGGAAAAGTTCAGTATTTTAAATGATTATTTTCTCATTCTGAGAGTGATGTAAGACGACTTACTTATATGTGTGCAGTAAAAATGTTGAGCTTGGACAACATTATCCTAGCTTAGCAAAATAAGTAGGGCCTTATTAATACTGGGTCTTGAGATCAATACTGAAATACATTTTGGGACCTGAAAATGAATTTTGTGTATGATATATGTGCTTGCACGATATACTGTACAGTATATATCTAGTAAAAAGAAAGTGGGGGCAAATGATAGTCTGGCTTTATTCAAAGTTTAAATAATGCCTGTATAGTTCACTGATTAATGGAATAAACAAACATGCTACAACATTTTAAATAGCACTTGAAGCTTATATTGTCATGGGTGATTTAGTGATTTAGCACTATATATACATATATACATACATATACCTAGTGCACACACACCATACCATAAAGTATGAAGAATTTATCATTGAATTTTCACTCCGCTGCCCAGTTTGTGTTAGTTTAGATCACCTACAGAGTATTGCCAGGGTGTTAAAATATTGTTTCCTTTCTAAATCCATCTAGAATTTGAAAGCCTTCAAAGTTGTGCACCTTTCAGGCCACAAGAGAAATGTAAATGAGAATGTATGTGCATCTGTGTCATTTTGGGTCTAATGAAGCTCTAAATAAGTAAGTGAATGAAAATTTAAAAAAAGATTAGAACCAAACTGTCAACTACCATGAACGTGCTGCTTTAAGAACTGTGAACTCCAGACTCTGTGTGTGTGTGCATACAGGCTCATATGTGTGTGTGTGTATGCATATATGTAGGCCTACATTTCTGTGGAGCCTCTTTCCTGAGGGTGCTGTCTGCCAACATCAGCACTGAGGCTGTTTCTCACTCCACTGACCTTCAGCAGTACAGAAGTCTTTTTGAGCACACTCACTGACATAATGCATTCCCTAACGCTTTACCCTAACATTAACTATCACAACTAAATGCCTAACCCCAGGCCTTCCCCTCACCCTAACCTAAACCTAATTCTAATCTTAAAGCTAAAAGCAAGACTTGGCCTTCAAAAAGCCCAGTTACAATGTCCTTATAACACCAAAATGTCCTCACTCCCATGATATAAAAATCAAACCAGTCCTCACACTGCTGGCTGTACAAGTACACAAACATGCACACACAGTCATTATGTAATAGCAGGACATGGAAATACACCCCACACCTCTACTGGCATTCTAAGGTTCTCACAGACACATCAAACACACACATACATGTCATGGCTACCTACACTGATCGTCCTTTTGTTCTCTCAAGGAACTCCAAATGAAATTGCTTCCTGACAGCCTCACAGAATACAATAGTACAATCACATAGTCTTATCAGGGAATGTTGTTTGCAAATTAGTTTTTTTTATGAATTCCTGCTCCCTTACATCACTTGTGACATGCAATCATGCATAGACCACAGGAATTAAATTCTGTTATGCAAGCACTGGTCCAGCGTACACCAGCCATCATCATCTAACATCATGGGGTCAGACTGGGATTTCTGAATAGTCTTCTGTTTGCTGATTGATGAAGTTCTGCTTCAATTTTATCATGCTTTAGAGCAACAGGAAA